TGAGAGCTGTTCAAGCTAGCAGCGCCAGGTGGATCGGCTTGTTTACTGTCAATGAGAATCTATTTTTCAAATGCTTTACTTATTTGCAAAATAACTACATCGGCTTATTTTTAACGTCTTTATTGATTCGCAATGTCACGTACCCTTCGAAATAAATACATTTTTATTTTCAATATAACTGTCTCCGCTGCTTTCTGTAATGGATACTGTAAATTGTATTTGAACACTTGTAATTCTGCTTTTTATTTAAAACAATAATAGAAATGTAAAGTTGATCATTATATTATTATGCTCGTGCTTTCAATTTTGTTTTTTATTGATAAATTAAATCTATCTTGAAACTAGTACCTAAAAATGTGAATATGGGCTCTCGTGTTGTACCAGCGGTAATTTGGGTCTCTTCACCAATGAAAGGAGTACACAAGCAATACATTTTCGAGAACATGCCTAACACCTAACCCAACGAACTAACCTAAGTAACTCCTCCCTAAATGTAAGACTGTTTATTCCCGTAAAGGCTGGAAAGTCTTCCGTGAACTGATCAAAAGATCACAACTGAAAGATCTGGTGGTCGTGACTTCGCTGTTTTGTACGTCACAGAGTGACGTCACAGTCAGGAAAAGAAGGCGCTATATTGAAATATATTGAAACTTCCACCCCACCCGACCAGACAGACTCAGAAAAAAAATTGCCCCCGTTGTTTTAATCACAATCAGGAGTTCAAGTACCGAGTTTATTCGTACCTGTGAACTTCCTTGTAGACAGTCACATGATTACCCAACAAAAGGCACAATATCTCGGAAACGAAAGCAGCAAAAACGCTACATTATAGGTAACAAAGTATAAAGACATGCTCGTTAAAGCCTCTAAGTAAGAACATGCAATTGTTTGCTAGTGTTCGCTTTTTGAGACTACCCCCACAACTCTTCTGATTATGGTATGTGATATTCGTGACAAATTTAAGTTTCCTGCTCACACAAACGCACAGAAGACACTGATATTACATACAAAATCCACCACCGCCCCCCACCCGGGAACAAAATTGCAGAACTGTTACTCTCGCACAGGTAACAGACACTTGAACTCGGCAGACGGGGTCACAGGAGGTCAAAGTCACCGTGCATGGTCACTTGATCACCGGAAAAACAAGGCGCTATATCTCGGGAACAAAAGCAGCACAAACGCTACTTTCAACGGCACATACCGGCATTTTCGTCGTTCGTGCTGTCTAGGGGGGCAACTTCGCGGAGCTCAAGGTAAACCCTGATTGTATTTTAAAAACAATATTTCGGACGGATGTTGAATCTTTGCGTTTTTCATTGTGTTTTGCAATAAAAAACTAACTTCAGAGTAACTCGTAAAACTACTGAACAATCTAAAAGCAGGCATACGAAATACTTAGAACTGTTACAAGCGACAAGTGAAAATGAGCTCTTGCAGTTCTTTCTTTAGCTAAAGACAAAGTCCTCATATGAGAGACCTTTGCGAACTAGCTGTCATTTGAACTGGAATCTCTAGACAGTGACGAGATTATCCCCATATTCAATTCCAAACCCCGACGCCTGCGTCTGGTCTAGAAGGCCAAGACCTCACAACAGAGGTAGGCACTGGTTGTTTTTTTGTGTGTCCCCGCCGTGGCACAGTAGCGTTCGGCAGCCTAGGTAATTGTTGCTTAACCCGTCGGTGTGTGTGTGTGTGAGAGAGAGTATATATATAAGGTTCTGCTAATTCTGCTTGCGGATTGCATTGTAAATTGGAGGGGTGCCCCTATGCTGGCAGGGCGATCAGTTAGAGTCCGGGCCACCCACTTTTGCACAGGCCCACCCAAAATCAATTCCTGGCTACGTCCCTGCTACAGTACAAAGGCAAACTTAAAAGATTCCAAGATAATCTTCCTTTATTAAGTCAATACAGCACATGGAATGTAGATCTCCACATGCAATATAACAGAATAACAGAACATCTATTCTGTCAAGGATTTATAAGAACCATCCAAATAAGCACCCGGATCACCAAATATTATTACGTATTATAAATTTAATCTCGTTTTGAGGACGAATGAGTAAATTAAATAAATTAGTATTGTTTACATCATTTGGTAGGAGAGAAACAATATTAATAGCATATTGATTGGTTTATGTAATCCAGTGTTCTCTCTGTTATCTTAATGCACTCTACACAAAAAGAACTTCCTAGGAGATAACATGGCAACAGCTAGAATGAAAAAAATGGTAAGAGGTTTGTGTTAATGAAATTAAATTCAATCCATTTATCTCCCATGCTGTTTCTTACCTCTTTCAACATACACACTAACTGATTTACTGAACAAATTCAAGGTAACATTAAAAAACGTTTTATTTCATCTGTATCATTTAATAAGGTCATTTTGAATTAAACAGTATTGATTTCTGCCCTGTGCAATTCTTTTTGATGTGCTGAATGCTATCAAGTTATTTTCATTGTCATAATTTTTTACACATACAGTACATCACTATCATTAATATGAGGTTTAATAGCATAGATGGATAGCTACTGGGCTTGCTGGGATTATCTAATTTTGAGATTGCACAGGCCCTGTCTTTCATTTACATGCATGATATAGTTTCTTAGTTGTGCTCAAAGGACAGCATCAGTGACTATTTACTGCTTTCAAATTCCTGTTTATAAAGAGATTACCTCAAGCAACTTTCCAAAATTTGCATTTACATTGGTTTCTAATAATGATCTTCCATATTAGTTACATGTGACTGTATTTAATAAGCCATCAGGCATCAATTGCAGTTAATGCCTACTGTCTGAAAAGGCAAATACTGGAATAAGATGAATCTATGTCTGTTAACAACTGACATCATCAGATGCATAATTATAGCCATACAGGTACTTCCTTCTGACTTGTCTCTGCACTGGACTCCAGCTAAATACTGTATTTTTAAACGTGCTTATGTAGGGGACAGCATGGTGGGGCATTGATTAGCATTGCTGCATTGCAGCGCTGTGATTCTGGGGTCAGTTGCTCCTTGCTTCTCAGGATGGGCTCTGGTTCCACTGCCAATGCTGAACTTGATAAAGTGATTAGATTAGATACGCCAGAAGCCATATCACCCTGAAACTCACAACTGGCAACCCAGTGGAGCTCAAGTGGTCAGTACCTGGATGGGAGACCTCCTGGGAAAAACTAACGCTGCTGCTGGAAGAGGTGTCAGTGGGGCCAGCAGGGGGTGCTCACAGGGGGTCTGTGTGGGTCCTAATGCCCCAGTATAGTGACGGGGACACTATACTGTGAGAAAGGTGCCGTTCTTTGGATGAGATATAAAACCGAGGTCCTGACTCTCTGTGGTCCCTGGGCGTTTCTTGAAAAGAGTAGGGGTGTTACCCTGGCATCCTGGCCAAATTTCCCATTTTCCTTTATCAGTTCTGGCCTCCTAATAATCCCCATCTATGAACTGGCTTCATCACTCTGTTCTCCTCCCCACTGATAGCTGGTGTGTGGGGAGCGTACTGGTGCACTATGGCTGCTGTTGCTACCTGTAAAGTGCTTTCAGTGGAGTGTTTAGAAAATTATTATTATAATTTACATATTAGAATAATATATACCATGTATATATATTTTAATTATAAAATGTAATACATGATATTATAAATAATATATACAGTACAAAAAAATCTATCCTAATTCCAGCACAGTAATATCTTTCTGTAATGTGGTTACCTAAATTGTTCACAATATAATTAAAGACATGTTACTAGTGCACTGCAAATCTTTAACAACCCTTGATTGAAATTCTGCACTTTTAACTGTACTGTAAGTCATGATGTTCTATTTATTGTTCTCCACATTGTCAGGAGGATGAAAATGATGCAACAACATAAAACACCTAAGGCTTTTCATAAGTTTGTTTTAAAATTTAAAAAATGTTTTGCTACCAACATGTAAAACTTTAAGTTTAAAGTTTAATGGTAGCTGCCAGATGTTCAACAAGTCTTACATTTGTTCTAAATTTCCTTTATTTTACTTCTTCAGCTTTCTAATTCTCCCCCTTTTGGCATCATCTGAGAACATGACTAAGCATACCAGAATGTATTACCAAATATAAATCAAGAAGGGTTGTGATCCCTGAGTAGACCCTTGTTGTACTCCACTAATCATGTACTGTAACTCCAATTGGAACACTTGTTCCTTTTCTGTACTGTTTCCCATCCCTTAATTAACTATCAGTCCCAATACAGAAGCTTTCAGACAACTGCATGCAATTATTGTCTTATTGAACTGAAATTTCTATTAACATTTCTTGTCTTTTTTAACTGAACTGAACTACATAAGCAAATCCACTGTCTTGAGTGCAGTTTTGCTAAGATCCTCTAACATGTTGTTTCCTTACATACAGCTGTCAGAATACCATCAGGCCCAGGGGAGTTGTTTATCTTAACTGCTTCTAATCTCTGCAACACTTCTGCCTCTTCTCTGCTGATACTACTTAATTTTGAACTTCGTTTTTTTTTCTCAGCCTGAGGCTTACATTTGTTTTTCCTGGGAAACCTGTGAGTGAAATATTAATTTAATACATCAACCTTTTCCCTTTCAGCCGCCAACATTTTCCCATTTTTTCTCTCTGAAATGCCTTATTTCATCCTTTACTGTTGCTTTGCTTTTGTAATACTGAGAAAACATTACATTTTTTTTATTTTGGCCTCCTCTGCAGTATTCTTTTCTGTGACCATTGCTGCCTTTCAAATATCATAATTTTATGTGGGCTTGTAAAATATTGTAATTAAATTGTTACGGTGACAACAGCAACATTCAAAAACTATTCCTGACTGGATAGGTACATAATGCTACAATTTCTCCATCTCTCCACATGTTTACTCATTAACCTTGCATGGAAGCAGTCTGACATGGGAATCAAACAGGAATATAATGTATAGGACTACCACTATGACACAGTGTTGAATGACTGCAAGCAAGACAATTCCAATGAGAAAAAATGACAAAACAATGAAAGTTATGTTATGGGTAAACATACAGAATCCAATCTATTTTATTTCTTAGAAAATTGTTTTTAATAGAATTTCCAAGTTACAGTTAGCCCTTCACAGAAGGTGTATACAATTAGTGCCATAGTCAGTCACCTACTTACCTGTGACGACCCAGCATAGTATTCATGGTTGTCAAATAAGACATGGCAATGTGAACAGTTATCAATACGAGACGAGAACGCATAAACACATTGTCAAAAACAATTAACTGAACTGGAGCCGAAGATGGCAAGTCCTCAATGCAGTTCTGTTGGAGTAATGCAACAAAATACCATCTAAAACCTTTAACATAAGGAAAGATTATGTAAAATCACAAGGAAAGAACATTCAACAGATTGTCGTGTTATTTTTTTAAGATGAGATGAAGAACGCAAGAAAAATTAAGACAGGCAACAAACTAAGGGAGTCAAATTGTTATTCAAAAACCCTCTTGGGAAGTGAAAACCACGAGAGCTGCACTTTTCGAAGTTAGAAGACAATTTCGACTTTAAAACAAAAAGTAATGTGTTTCTGTGTGTAGTTGTTCAATAATATTATGAGGTGGAGCTCATTATGAGTACAGCTGCATCTTGGTTCCTATTTCTATTCTGGACTGGAGAGCTTTCTGTACAGAGTCTGCATACAGAACCAGTCTGCCACCTGGTTCTCCCGTTTTTTGCTCAGGTGCCCCTATATCCGATGGCATCCAGTTCAAGATGTAGTACTACAATTCACCCTATGCCTGTAGGACTCGGCTCTGTCTAACCACAGCCCTTTATAGTTTGAAACAACCGTGCATATGGATGGATAAACATTATCTACACCCTTTGTGAAAAAGGTTTTGTCTTGACTCAGGCACTGTGCAAACATGCATTTAGTGGAAATCAATTTTGTGAACACTTAAAAGCATGGGAAGGGATCATAAAAATAGAAACGTATTCCTACCTGTATTTGACAATGAGCAGTGCTAACATTGAGATTCATGAAAGTAGCTACTAAGAGTGCAAAAGAGATGCCTTTACTACTTTCAGGAGGTTCTACTACATCTTAATGTGCTTTTACCATGGCAATAGTAGTACCTAGGTCAATAAAAGCTGATTTCTTAATATACTTTATCAGAGAGCAAAGAGAGTAAAAGGAAAGCATTCTAGCTGCATATACATTAGAGGAAATAGATTATTTTATAAGAAATGTATAGTGTTATATCAGCATGTAACAATTTTAACGATTAAAAAAAAATAAAATCGTGGAATAAGAACATAATAAAAGTTACCAATGAGAAGAAGCCAATCTGAACTAAGTATCTCATTTGGTTGTTGATATTTTAAAATCATTGGCTGTCAAAGTGCTTTTTGACATTTCCTGGTCTGAAATTACATCTTAGACACCAGTCTCTTCTTAATCCATTGTCTCTTCGATCTTTGTAGATGAAAAAGCTCTTCATTAGAGGTCAGCTGCAATCTGTTCTCTATACGACGTCACTGGTTTCAGAGAAGTTTATTTCCTTATAAAAGCAGCAACTCCCTTCCAGGAGCAGTAGTTGTGGGCCGTGAGCTCTGCTTGAGAAGTGATGTGCAGCTGAAAGAGGGGTGTCTGGTCTTATGTCCAGGTTTCCATGGGAACCATGGCCTCTTTTGTCCCTACTGAAGGCATAAGGTTCTCCTCACACAGGAAGTACAAGGGGAACTGCACTATGAAACCCCGAATCCTCTTCAGCTCCTCGCGAGCTCTGGCGGGATCGTCCGAGGCCATACTGGAATTTAAAATGAACCTCTGCAGTTCGGCCATGCTTCTCACTAGGCTGGAGGGCAGACAGTTAAACACCTGGGGAAATTGGAGCATGAACAAGGTGCTTTCAGTAGGATGTATGTGTACACAGGAAATACTTTAAATAGTTAAAAAAAATAATTCCGATTCATACTCAGTTGAATGTGAAACTAAATAACTTCATAGTTTCTATTCTAAAGTTATCAAGATAACCCAAAGGAGAGCCTCCTTTGTCCTTCTAATAACCACACCAACACTCTTCAAAGACAGTTTCTTAAATTGTAAGACCTCACCCAAAGGTCAGCAAATTAAATAACACACAGGGTCGTTTAAAATTACTGTCTATGCAAAGGATTTTAGCTAACTATTCTAATGAGCTAAACCTGTAGTAGTATTTAACAAAAAAGTAGTGTATTTTTTTAATGATATACTGTATTCAGCCAGCTATAACATAAATAATCAATTAACTCAGCCTAAAAGGGTCCGCTGCTCTAACCCATGATGACATTGAGCCACCTCTTAGTGTCATTTCTATAAATTACTCTCGAACATTCCCCCCTGTAAAGGAGCTCACAAAAGTCATGTTTCTCTTAATTAATGGTTGTATCACTTTGACCTTGCAAGCTGTATGCAGAGAACTGCAGGACAGCTGTGGGGATGAGCTGCCAGGGGCTGCATTACTGGCAGTGTCAGCTCTTGATTGGTTTTGAAATGATGAATCCCTCGGTTTATTAAAATTCATGGGTAGGCCATGCAATGTCTAAGCTGGCGGCACGGAGAGTTAACATTCTCAGGCGCTACAACTTTAAATGCTACACTAAAGTAATGCATTTTCCCTTTACTTTTTCTGCTTGCTTCCAACTGGGGGGTATGCTGCAATGGAACTGAGCCTTTGAATTTTATGAAGGCCACCATTCTTTTAGTTTTAAAGCTCCACCCCACCCCCCCACACCTATTTGTGCCAGCCAATTCGTCATCAACGGGAGCTCGGTAGAGATGAAGGCAGCACATGCGCGCCCTCTGCAATTCGCACGGACAGGCCGTCTGTTTCTTCTGCCACACTGCGAGTCCCCCAGCTCCAGGGGGAGAATTGCAGGTTTGGCAGGAGGACAGATGAAGCTCATTCATAACGACGCAAGTGCATCAACACCTGGCAAAGCCACAGGGGTTACTGCTGTCTGATAACCCAAGAATAACCTGGGTGAGCAAACGTTTATCGGCTTCTGACAGCAGTCAGTTGTGCGCAACTGTCTGGAGAATCCTCCAAAAAAACACCCTCTAGTGGAATGACTTTGCAACTTTCAGCAAACGTTTGAGTAGAGGGACCTTTGTGTGCTTCACAAAGGCCCATTTATGGGTTAAACAATTTGGAATTCTAATATTTGATGACGGATGACTTTTATGACATGGGACATCCAAGCTGTAAAGCATTACAATGTATTATCACCCCTGCACAACATAACCAAAAGGGCTTTAAATGTGCAAGTGTGGTTGTTACATTCCAACACAAAACTGACAGCAAGGATCTTTTGTGAATGACAGAAGATCATGGCTAGTGACCTTGGTCTAGTCAAACTGAGGGCCTTGTCATTTTTGGGGGCCTCTTCGTTATTCCCTGTGTTCCCTGCAGATCTTATTCAGTTCCTTAGACCACTGGGGATCCTGTTTTTTTTTAAATTAAAAGTACCTTTTCATAAATGGTTGCATTCCTCGCAGATGTCCCAATCCACACTTCCTTGTAGAAACGGTCACTGATAGGATCTGTTACATCAATTGTGGGATCTGTGAATGCCCCAAGAATGATCCTGTAAAGAAAAAACGCCATTTTTTTCACATTTGAAAACGACATATTTACTTTGTAAGAACCAAAGGGCACAAGTGGAAACTGATGGCAGGGATGGTTTGGACAAAGAACAGGAGACACATCTTTACATGATCATTGCCTGGAACTACCAAGCCATGTTGCTGATACACTAGCTTCTTTCAAGAAATGTCTAGATGACATCAACACATCGATTACCTGCTAGAAACCAAAAGAGCAAGATGAGCCGAACGCCATCCACTTCCTTATATGCTTCCAACGAAGAACACGAGCAGCAGAAAAAACGGACTTACTTGAAGCACTCCAGACGAAGCTGAAGGGCAAACTTTCCTGCCTGATAGTCTTCCCCATCCATCACAGAAGGCACCATCTCTGTGTCCTCAAAAATCACGGCAACCTCGCTGTCCCTCTTCCCCAGCATGCTGCGGTCGTTGATGTTCGCAGAGCCTGAAACAGTGCAAGAGACAGACAGAAAACATCTGCTTAAGCAGGCTACATAATTTCATAACGTTCCCTTTGGGGATCGAAATGACCTGTCTGCAATGAGGAAAGCAAGCATGGTTAATTTTGCTGGCTACAGCATTACTAATTGCCCTGACAGAAGCCTTTATGAGCTTGTGGATGGCGCAGGCTCCTCCGAGGACATACAAGCACAAAGTCCATGTAAGCACGGTATGTGACACTAAATGGTACAGACTGATGATTGCTGCAATAAAAGCCTCTCATGTGCTGTCAATACAAGTACTGGAAACAACAGTCAATCTGTAATAAGATACTCGAATTCAACAGAGTGCTCTTGTTGCTGACGTGAATGCCTCAACAAGAATGAAGGACTTCCAAAGACAGAGTGTTAGTATCCCAGACCCAGGTGTGAAATTCCAAGCTGAATGAAAAATGTCATCTGCAGTTTGAACGCGGTGACCTGCTGTTTTTGCTTTGATCTTTTTTTTTAAAGCAGTAGATGTTGGTATTAAGTGACCCTAACAATTATTTGATTTTCTGAAGCTGGCTAATTCAGCCATCCACTTTCAGTTCCCTTGTCCCAGTAAGGGTCGCGAGACAGGCTAATTCAATAGTGTGTAAATAGAACTCAATTCTGATTTGATTCAGGTCAGAAGTCAAAATGATCTGGTGGCCTTTACTCATTTTTCCTAAGTGAGGTCAGCAAAGGTCCCCATTATAACATTGCTAATACTTTAAAAAGGACAGACAAGACAAATATTAGAAGTACAATTTCAAATTGCCAAATCATTTCGGCTCCTTGGATTTCCCTGACTCCAGAATAGCATTGTTTTTTTCCCACATGCAGAATCTTCATTAAAGTCAAACACCACTTACCAAACATTAGTCATCAAGAAAGAAAACTATTTTTGCATTTATATGTTTTAAGGCTCCTTATAATCCACTCTTCAAATAAAATTCAAATGATATTACAGTGAGGAGGCAGACTTCTGGAAATTAACACTACAGTATGTACGGATAAGCCTGGTTACCAGCATTTGAAACTGTATGGAAAAGTCCAGACACTGACAGCTGGTGATGATATATTAGTGGCAGCAGGACAAATGCCCGTATGCACAGCCTGTCATATGTTTAAGATAATGTCCATCTTGAATAAGACGTTGACTAAGAAATGCCAGAGCAGCCAAACTAAAGGCTTGTGAAACTGACATCATCCAAAGCTAGACGGAGGTGTAGCCTCATGCAAACTAGATATTATTTGCACACCACAACGAACCACTGTTACAACCCAACACATCATCCCCAGCCCCATTTCCTGCACTGCATTGGTTTCTGCAACTTCTGTCCAACAATCATATAAATGATTATACCCAGGTGCTGCATCCTAGAAAATTGTAACTTCAAAATGAGTTCAAAGTGTTGTTTGAAGACAGTGTCATAGATTATTTTTTTAAATATAATTTCAGAAAGGTTTAATACATTTTTAGAAAATATTTCTAAGATTATTTTTGGTCAGTATCTACTTGAAAGGCCAAGTGTGAAGCCTGTTGTATTTTATGAAAAGAAAAACTTTGGGGCCAAAAATATTCTTCTGGGATGTTTAATCAAAAAATAAAATTCATAATGCCCACACCATCAGACACACAGGAGGAACACAGGAAAGACATTGTACAGTATTTGACCAACTGCAGATACATTTTGTCAGCAGCAGGGGGAGCTTAAAACGAATTCCAGACAATAATCAACTGCAATCTACCGTACTAACACAATCCGCTGAAATAGTCACTTTTGGCAAAGCAGCAGGGCTATGTTACAAAGCACAAATTTGGAGTATGTATGTACTTCAGGACATGTTATTTCATACTGTACTAAGAACTTTTTTTGTTTGCACTTTAAGATTTTAACTCGTAGGTCTTGTTCAGCATGAGAAATATAGTATACTTTGAATGCATCACCATTTACCTGGTATACACATTTCAAACTACCTGCACAGTTCTTAAAGTAGTAACTCCTCGGCCTTCTGCTTCAAATGCCCCATCTTGTTCACTCACCAATAATGACCGTGTTGTCATCGGCGATCAGCATCTTGCTGTGGACGTAGATGAGCTCAGACACCAGCCTTCCCTCAAGCTCGGCATGAGTCCTCAGCCCACAGAACGAGATGTAGTTCATCCACTGGTCCCCCACTGGAAATACAATACAATAATCACAGGTCTCACAGTGGAGCTACATTTATGGGTCTTCAGCAGTCACCCGTGGCCACAGGGCAGACCACATGAGCCCTGAAAGGCCAAACTTTCTGAAATATAATTAGTTTATATAAACTAACAAAAGTTCTTGGAGAACTTTAATGCTTTGTTCGGACTATCTGAGATTAGAGAGACTAATAACAGATGGAACTATAGGTAAAAACCAAACCAAAGTAGTTTGTCTCAAGTATTAATATAGAAAAAGATCTCACAAAACAGTGTCTATTAGCAGATAATGAGTCTATATCATACTTTTTGTAGAATTATTTTCAACAAAGCACCTCAGAGTGGATACAGTGGAGCAGAAGAACAAGCTGAAATCAGGATCCCTAAAGTGTTGTACATCTTCAGATGATCTAGCTGATAGGTAGAAAAGAGATTCCATTTGGAATGTGAGGTAAACTGGCCTTGAATCCACTTTGTTTATGTATGAATTTCTGTGTTCAGCAGAAAGTGGAACAGAATATTTAAATTAGACAGAAACCCCAAAAGATACACCCCACCCCACACCACAGCACTTCTGCACCAGGGACAAAACAGCTGAACTTTGTAGATAGTAACCACTATCATGAAATTTACTGGCTGGACCTTTTCTAATTTAATGTGTGTTTAATTATTTTAAATCGTCCAGTAATAACCCATTTATTACTTAAACGTGTGTAGTGACAGCAGCAGGATACCTGCATATCATCGGTAGATTCAAATACATTTAAAAAATAACACGTCAGAAGATGAAACAGGAGGTTTCTGAAGCATGTCAGTCATGACAATTCTGTAAGAAATTCTATCAGCCCTAGAAACCAGAGATAACTCGGGAAGAAAACTACTGTGATAGCCATTACATTATTTTTCACGTATCATCCAAGGATGGCACAGTGGCGCAGAAATTAGTACTGCTGCACTGGGACCCTGGGTTCTGTTCAGGACTTGGGGTGCTATCTGCATGGAGTTTGTACTGTATGTTCTTAGCGAGTTCATGTAGGTTTCCTCCAGATGCTCCCTCACACAGTCCAGAAACATATACTAGTAGGTTAATTGGTTTTGTGGAAAACTGGCTCTGGCATGAGAGTGTATGTGTTTGTGTCTATGTCTGTGTGTGCCCAGGGTTTATACTTTCTGCGCCCATTGTTGCTGGAATAGGCTCTGGCTCTCCCACGACCCTAATTTGGATGAAACAGTTAGCATGTTAGCATGCTAACTGGACATTTTCTTTTTCACTCAGTTTTGTTTACTGAGTTTGGAAAGCCGCCACAAAATTTCAGCCCCCAATGTCAATGTCAAGACCCTAAGATCTAATTTTGATATCTCGACATTCTCCAGTGTATTTTTTCAAAATACTGAAAGTAGATATAAAGTATATAATTAGAAGACGGCATACTTGTGAGACAAAAAAGCTCCAAAAGTAAGAAATACACAGTACATCTAATGAAATGTACGAAATGTATAGCTAATATGACCTTATTGCCAAAACAAAACACTTACTTTCTCTTTTCAGCTGCGAAACAATGGAATTATCTCCCCTGATCATTGTTCTGGAAAATAAAAACAACCGTAATTACTGTACATTTTATATATAGTACTGCATTTTCTTAGACAGTTATTAGTAATAACTAATGTAATGCACTGTACGTGCAAATAAGTACAGGTTGTGCAGCTGACATTTCACCTCAGAAATGTTTTTGCGTGATCTACAGTACATGCAGAGTCAAGTCAAGTCAGTAGTATTTTCCAGCAAAACCATCTCAAAGTTGATAGCCATATTTCTATTGGATTAAAAGAGATTCACAAGCCTGCTTGTTTACAATGTAATAGGGCCACGACACATCACATCATGTACTCTGTACATTTGACTTTTATTGCAGTTTGAAATGCACTTATCCTACCCCAAAATATAAAAATAGCATTGCAGTTCTCCTTTAATTTACCAACAGAAATCATTAGCTCAGTTTTATTTGCCTGTCTTTGTAGGCTATTGATTTTATATTTGACATTTCAAAAATTTCAAAATTTCAAATTTCCAATCATTGACTTGGTCTAAAACTTTTCATGTACCCCTATTTAAAACCACTAAAAGTAATAATACAGAATATCAATCACTTGCCAATAAAGAAAATGAATAGACATAAACTCATACTTGACAAATCACACAGGTTTTAAATTGAATGAATCCACACAAGACTGAAAAGCTCTGTCTTTTTCTGAGCCATACAGCTCTACAGCAGGAAATTTGAAACATTACAGATCTGGAACACAGGTTATTTATCTGAGCTTTGAAAAGAGACCAAATATTTTGATTATGTGTTACTCCAACTACAACAGCTGATCCCCCTAAAAACAAATACTAAAAAATGCAAAGTAAATCTCTTAAGAGTCAAAGACTAAGAAACGTCTAGAGAAGGAGACTTTTCTTTAAATGGAGGTGTTTGTTACAATTTGCCACTTACAGAGTGCCTGACAGACAGTTCTTTGTACCTGAACAATTCTGAGATACTTCACAATGTGACTGCTTTTGTGGCTGTTGCCCGCAAAGAAGCCGATATAGTTGGGGAATTTTAATATTAGCATTTTACTTAAAAGTCTTGTTAGGTATTCATTTGCACAGTAATACACGTGTTCTGACCCGATAAGAGATAACATTGTTACACCATACAATTTTACAGATCCAAATTGAATTAGGAAAATCAATTCTCAAACAGTTGTACATTTACTGTGCAACATTAAGAGCTTACTGCCCCAAAACTCAGTGGTTTACAACCAGATCACACATAGAAACAATAGACACTGAATACAGTCTCCCTGACTTGTCAGTCCTCACAAAAACCTGAATCTTCTGCTTTTTCTTAGTCATGGAAAGATGGCAACATTACCTTGGACCCCCCTTCATGCATTAAAATTATTTTTTTAAATGTTATTAAAATAATATGTTCTTATTCTTACTGTAATAATTAAGCAGATGTGATAGTGACAGTGTCGCTGATGTCTCATAGTATTTAGTGCTCAAGACTGAGACAAAGATCTTGCTCAAAGTAATAGCCAGAACATTAATATTTCTCAAGAGTTAAGATGTGAGAGCTCACAAGCACACTGTAAGCACTGTAATGCTAGTTTTTTTTTTACAGCGGAGAATAGTAATAAGACTGACAAGGAAGCTGTTGAAATTCCTGTGCTGTGGCAGTCTCTACCTGTGTTATTGAAAATATGAACTTTATTTCACCTCACCTATAGTTAAAGTGCATGACTGCCTGGATAGAATTGCCTCCTCCAGTTTGGATGTCTCCTTCAAACCCAGGCAACAAAGGGGTCACCACATACACACGGTACTTTTTGTCTTCCCTGGAAGAAAGCAGAAACAATGGAGGAATAATGAAAAGCCACTGCACAACCTCAAGCAAGCTCAGGTCCAGCTGGGGTTATGAATTATGAAAAGTGGAATAAAATCAAATTCTGAACTCAGAAGGCAACAGAGGATATCTGGTGCCATTATTTTAAAAGAAATGCAACGCTCATAAAATTAAAGAAGTAGTACCTCTGACAACAGAGTTGGGATTTTTAAATTAGTCTGTGTCATTAAGTTCTTGCTAGTGTTTCATAGAACAGTATAATGATCTCCTTTATAACCACAGACAATTTTGCTGTATAATGAAGATATTCAAATACTTTGTGATAACAGATAAGAGATATTACAGGACAAGCAAAATATGTACAGTCACATGGGTTTATTACCAGTTTGGTACAGATTCCAAACCAGAACCTAAGAACCTAGACCAGCAAAGTACTCTCATGACAAGCAGCTTAACCAGCTGATTACATCACCCTTGGTTAAATATAGACCTTCTTATGACAGCTAGGCACACATGAATATGGAATTTATAGCTGGTGAGCAAATACTGAATAGACAGCCTCCAAAATGACTTCTGCCACGTACAGCCTGCTCTTGGCGGTGCCTAACTTCTGGAAAATGTTGCTCATTTTAATACACACAATAATAATACCTCAAACTTTTACATTTCTGCACCAACGAAGCATGAAGGGAGCACATGGCCCTGTTTGCAGGCTGGCATCATGTTTGAGATCAGATAACACACCATATGCTTGAATTCATTTCTTGGCTAAAAAAGTCACTTTCAGAATTCATCTGTTTCACTACTCTAGTCACTGCCTTTTTTCATTGTTTTTTTTAAAATTCCACTGTTTAGTTTACAGGTCTTGTAAATTGCATTTAAGTTAGGTATTTATCATTTGATGTAAGTGTGTATAGGTTTATTGCAGACACCTGGGCTGCCAAAGGCCAATACAAAGTCCAAGTCAAGCCTGAGTCAGAGGAAAACAGCTATATCGACTCTAACTCACACTGAATAGGCAATAAAAACAGATACTAAAGCATAGCAACTGCTGTTGAATAACACAAGTACCAACTATTTCTCAGTAAAGAACAAAATATTTACTGAAAGAAATGTAACGAATTGATTTACAGGTAAAAAATAACCAAAGCTTAATTCAAATGATATTTTCCACATACAGGACACACACGTTTTTATTATTACAACTGAATAAGAAAAGAAAACATTTACTTGTAAGCTCTGTTGATCCTCTTTGCAATGGCATCTCCAATTCCATTTAAAACGTGTCTGTTGTCAGAACAGCTAATGAAAAACTGGTTCTAAAAGACAATAAAATATACGGTAAGAAACATATTACAATAACCATCCCTGAAACAACATCTTAACAGTTCTTGTGGGAATCTAACTTTGAAGTTCAAAGAAACCTTTGTTAATTCCATTGGATCGTATTGGCACGAGAGCTGACCTCTATGTAGATGTAGTGCTTGCTGTTTTCAATCACATGGAGGTAGGCATTGTGGATGGAATCCTCATGGTACTTGATTCCTGCAGACCAGTCAGCTGCAGATCTCAAGATCTGGAAGAAATGGTCATAAATCTAAAAGAAAACTATAATGCAGCATTTGAAATTCCAGTAACTTTAATATCAAATAACAATTTGACAAGGCAGTTCCTGTCTTTCATTAAAGCCCTATTATTATCCTACCTGTACTTTAGTCTGGATGCAATCTGGAACCTGGTACCGCAAATCGTTGGCTGTTGTGTGAGACTTCGGCAAAAGGTAAGGATACGAGAGGGATCTGTACTTTGGCTTCATGATCTATTAGAGAACAGAGCGAATTTAGCTTTACATGCTGCCTGTAACATGCTTGTTTGCTACAATAGCCCGAGAAAAGAAACCTACTAGGTATATGGAGGAACAGACTCACTTTAGTGAAGTTCCATCGTTGTATAAAGTGTCTTGCCACATCTCTGGCTGCTTTCCCATGAACCACTGAGGCAATGTCATGCCAGGGCATTCTTGGAGTGGTGTACCTGTTGATGAAGTCTGTAGAGCCAATGAGTTAGACTGGCAATAAAGAGGCCATTTCATGCTTCAAAGGTTATTTACTGTACATTACATAACTTCAGCTTTCACACTATGCAACATAGCAGACAGTACACATGACAGCAGGATACCAATCCAATAATATAATTGTGCTGGGTCTTACTCTGTTCTAGATATGAATATGAATAAGAATATGATGGTGTACTGGACATCACTGTTATAACTCTGGCAGTTTTAACGCTATAACATTATCTCTCTTTCACTTGAAATCCAGTCAGTGCAGCCCTTTGCAGCAGTCATTTGTTTCGAAATAAAGATGTGTTTTCTACACACCTCAAAAAAGAGAAGTAAGAAAATCCTCAATACAATGGATTCAATCATCTTTGCTCATGGGAGCAGGTGCTTAGCCAGTGTCAAACAGAAGTACAGTACAGTACCTACCATCGAAAGGTTTGTCCAGCTGCACCCAGTCCTTGAAGACAAAGTTACAGTAGTCCTTGCCATGCCAAAAACGCGTGTTTCCCATCAGAACGCTTGCGTCTTCCTCTGTGTCTCTTGATGGCTTCAGCTCTGTTGTCACAGAGAAAAGCACAATTATTGTATTACTTCAGCTCCTCTCAGTGTAAGCCCTGGGATACCACATGAAAACAAAGCTCTTCACTAATTTTCTACTTTATTTTATCATTAACCGTATGGGTGAGCAAAACAATCTTCTCGTTGATCTTTTTTTGCATTTTTTAAAATGTTAATGCTGGAGTTGTCATACAATGTTCTGGTAAAATTAACTTCACTAAAACCCAGGGTAATATTGTTCTATGTACTATGTACCTTGTCTTAGTAACATTCTACAGCTGTGACTTGTTATATCAGCTGGAAATGTCTAGTACATTTTGGTTAAGAAAAAACAAGCCATGGATGTTTTATAAAGTTTTATCAGGAAGGACTTCTGGTAATCCAAGGAGGTGCACAGGCCTAAACCTGCCCAATATTAAAGATATGACTTCATTTGAAGAGAAATTGCAAAGCTACAAGAGGGTTATGGAAGTAAAAATTGTTTTACAGTAAATGCAGTGGGATTGGTTATGTCATTAATACATAAACATTACTAAGGGACACATCTTTGCATTGCACGCTTCAGGCAATTTCTGTACACCTTGCAGAAGAATGAAACATCTGAAGATGCTGGAGAGTGCCTTCAAGGTTTTATATGGAGGGGAAGATATCATTACTTCAAAGATCCACAGTTACCACTGCCAGATATGACTTCTTTAAAACGTTTGCAGCATGAAAAAATCTAAACAATGAAGGTTAACCTCAATGGAGCCTGATTTTAGAAGAGCAATATTCACATTTTATTCTACTTCCATTAGCCTAAGATTTAGCTTTGACAAGTAATCCAAATTATACTTTCTTTTGTTTCAGCCAACAAACTCTTTTGATGCGCACAAACACCAGCCAGCACATCTCTCTTTTCAAACAAGAAAAGAGAGAGACAATGGGTTAGCAGGTTTGTTTTCAGCCTTCGAAATCTGATTAAATATCAAGGAACACCAGCCCACATATGAAGCACCTTCGCAACATAAGCACACACCACATTTCTAGCACAACCAACGGCCAACAGCTGCTTCAGAAGGAGCCAGAGTTATTCAGCAAGGGAACCAAAGCCAAAACAAAAGGGGTTACAAAGCGTAGCAGACATTCAACACATCGGAACAGGTTTATTTCAGCAATACCAATACAGTGAGAGATGAATTTCCTCTAACAGACACAGAGGGTGACTTTCAAAGCTTTCAAAAGTTATGTGTTGTTTTGGAATTCTTACATCTGTCCCTGAACAAGGAGCAATTTTTGATGTGAAACAAATGTGTTGGAAGAACCTTCCTTACAGTAATTGTGCTAGCATCTGTCAAACCACCAGAATATAGTAACTATTGCTTATGTTTATTGTGCTACTCAACCAAGGTAGCATGCTTAGAAATGGGATTTAAGGGTGGTGAGACAATAATTAATAATTTACTGTATCAATGCAATAAAATAAACAATCTAACAAAATATATACCTATGCTTTGCTTTCTGCAGGAAAAAAACATAGTATACAATAGTTGTTCATAGGTACAGTAGCTGATGAATGAAGCTTCTTACAGAGTACATCTTTAATGCTTTTTTAAACGTCTTCGTGTTCTGGGTCTAAAACAAAACAAATTAGACTGATAACTTCAGTTTAAAATTTAGGCCCCTCAAGAAATGGCAATTTATACACTGACATGCACAGGAGGCACAACCTTAAAATAAGGTTCCTTATTTCTTCCTTCAAATAATTGATTCCCGACAACTTTTTAAGCTTCACTCAAAATGTTTAGAAATTCTCATTTCAGTCTTGAACGTGTTCTGCAATGTCAATAGATTGTTAATGCATATCACAATCTCTGCTTCATTCTCTTCAGTTTGAATATTTTCTGCGAGTTTGTACACCCTTTCAGCATTGTTTTCAACACTTGCAAGAGAAAAATATATATACAACGTAATGTGTGTATTTTCAGGAAAAACTCACAGAACTGAAGGAAAACCAAACTAAGCAAAAGAAAAAACACTACGATTTTCAGTACTGTACTGTCCAAAGATAAGTTATGGATTATTGGCCTTTTACTGGTCTCAGTTTATGAGAGCTGTATGAAGACAGAAGAGATACTGTATTTTATCTAGTTTTCCCAGTGTGGATTAACAGCTGCACTACTGTTATCCAAACAACTGATAATATTACAATGGAAGTATTACTACTGTATGAATAACAGTCTATGTGATCTGGAAAGCCTACACATTTTCTCATAATATTCTTCATTTAATCTTTCCAGCTGAAACTGGGGACTGGGATACATTAAGGGGAGTTTTTTTAATTGTTAAAGGCCCTTTCTTGACATTGTGGAGAAGTGCAAATCCTGAAACAAGGTGTTTGTTTTGGAGCTACAGGCAGACAGACTGGTATTTCAATTTGATGGGTGTTAATCAAGAAGACTGTCCAGTATTTTCAAATGGTACCCTCTCTGTGGTTAGCGAGATCTCACCTAGGCCTAGATAATAAATAACAAAGTACACAATTATTTTTTTGGAGAATCTTTTGTTTAGTTTTTAGCCCATGATTTTATTTTTTAGCACCAATTTGTTTCAGTTCTGAAAAGTTATGTAACAGATGTAATAAGGTGAATAAACAGGAAAAGAGCATTGGAAAAATGTCTACAACTCTGTATGTGTGGTATGTATGCACCACTATATTCCACATTCAGGTTATCTCAATGACTTTTACTTCTATGGGATATGCGGAGCATAGCTATGACATAGTTTGGGAAACTTACAGTACATTACTGTTTACTATTAGACTTTAAAATGAAAGTGTATGCATGAAAATACAAAAAAAAACTAAGTCTTCTTAGTCTCTCACTGTAATTGTGCTGAGATAACTGCTGAAAGTCACAAGCCAAAGCTCACAAGAGAAATGAGAGTTCATGAAGCTTGGTGACTTTCTCCTCCAGCACACAAGCACACTTACCATCCTTAGACAATCCCTGTTCCGGTGCACTGTGGGTTAGCTTCAACTGGGCCTTTTTACCTGGGATTAAATTCTCCTGACTGCTAGTAGTCTGAGACCAACCTGCAGAGAGTTGCTGCATTTTAAAGCTGTTTGGTGGAGTGAGTCCAACAAGACGGGGAATTGGTAATCTTGGTGAAGCCCAGCCTTTCTTTTTTACTTTAATTCTTAAGAGTGTCTCTGAACACTCCAGAGGAATCAAGCCAAACTTTACCCACTCCAAAGAAGGAATTATTAAAACATTCCAGTACATCATAATGACATCCAGTTTATCTATATGATTTGTTTTCTGGGATTCTAAATGAACAGTTATTTTTTCCAAAATATGGGCATTACCAGAGATCTGTTGCAGATTAATATATGTTTGCAACTTTTTATTGTCTTCTGTTCTAAATCATTCTATATTGGTTTGTTGTAATTTCTCTCTATATTTGTACTTATGGTCATTAACATTGTGGGAAACTGCAAAATTCTCAGGGTTTGTATTTATATTATTTTCGTTACATAAACAAGGTCTCAGATAAGAGCTGAAATTCCAAAAATGTAAGCAGTGAATGCATTCGTTGCCAAAATACTTCCTACAAATTGGATGTACACAGCAAAGATGCAATTGTTTCTGAATGATATTCTATACAAATTCTTGAAAACACAAAAACAAATTGAGCTGATTGAGCAGTAATGCACAAGAACAACTAAACACCATAATTAGACATTCCTATTAGGACATATTTATCGGCTACCAGTTTTTGTACTTGCATTTAGTATTGTATGACAGACAATGTAAAGTAAATACATCTTATTATTGTGTACAGTGTTTAGTATCGTATGTTAAAGAAATGGATATTGATGGAAGCCGATCTTTTCATATCTGGATCTGTACAAACAATAACAGATCCATTTTATATTGGCTTCTTGCATTTAGTTGCCCTGATTAAAAGGATATTTGGATAGAAATATTACACTCTAAAAGGTGTACTTTTACTTTGGGTTTATGAATTTTTGTACAGCTTTCTTGAAGAGAAATACACCTTTACCACCCCATAACTGCCACCAGGAGTCAGGCTTCAGAAGAGATATTACAGAGAAGGGATTAGTACTGAAAAATGCTAGTTAGATGGGAACCATCACATGTAACAATTGCCACCTTTACACACTTTGTTCTATTACCTTTCAGCACATGCTTAAGCAAGCAAATCCTCAGTTCTTTACCGGCGTTTGACACGTAGCACCAAAAACACCTGGAACTTACTTTCCTCTGTGCTGTCGATGCTGTTGACACTGTCGGTATGACGCAGGGTGTGCTTTTGAAGGTGTTTGTAGAGACTGAAGCGCACATGCTTCCGTGTGCGACTAACCCCCCTCAGCCTCGGCACATCTGTTGTGTCGGCCGATGCTACATTCTTGCCATTACTGTGTGCTGCACTGCCACCAGGGAGTCCCGCACTGGTTGAAGAAGCCTTCACACTGGGCTGCTGGAAGAAAAGTGTACGCCAATTACCGCTGGAAAGTAAGAGCTTGAGTGCAAAACAGCTTATGGTCTAATCTGCAGTGTTGCCCTATTTTATCTGTTCTCTGCATTTAAATATTTTATTGACTGCTTTTATTCATTTTTTTAAAAAAAAGCACTGTACATTATAAAAGGTGTTGTAATGAACAACACACAAATAACCTCAAGGTGAAACTAAGCTGTCCGAAGGTCTGAGAGTCTGAAGGTGAACCCACATGCAGGGCAAGAGCGCATGGTGTGCTAGCAGTCTAGGGACACAAGCAGAGCATGGTGCAGGCACATGATACAGGGTTGTCATCCACAACTAGCAAGTGTCAAAGCTGAGAAACACTGTAGCGCAGCACCAATTCAATCCAAGCCGAGGTGCAGAAACAAGCTGTGTCCAGAACAAGGTTTAGGCAGAGCACTGGGGAAATCCAAAACTTAAGGTTGGGAAGAAGCGGGGTAGAGAAGCCAAGAGAAATCCAAGCAAGGAATGTTAAGCGACTGTAGATGGTTGTGATTCAGAGCAAAACGTTAAGAGAACAAACTCTATACCAGAGCCATGAGTATTCGGAGAACAATCTTGCATGTTAAACATCTTGCACCACCTGAGGCGCGCATGGTTGTAAATTGCCTATAGGTAATGCAGATTTCCTGTCAGAATGCGTTTCAATGGCAGCTGGCACTGGCGGACAGGTGAGTGGGTGTGGCCGGCTGCCACGGCTGAGCTAACTCACTCAACAGCGTTTCACCAGAAGCGAGCCTGACAAACATATCCTGTGTTCAATTCCTGTTTCACAGAATCACATTATATGCTAGAAATTAAAATATTTTCTGGGTTGTACAGTGACAGTATTCAGTAATCAGGAAAGGAGGGAAAAGTAGAGAACCTGTGGTAGTACATCTAATTTTCTAGCAACCAATTCAGACAGAACTTAAACAGAGATTTAGTTCTTTTTCATTCTCTGACACTGTTGCAGTTCTGACACTGTATCTCTAGGACAATGTCCACTTGCTCACTGGTCCCCAGAAGTACACCACAGCGGTGCACCGAAAGTAAACTGCAGAAACTTCCCTCAGGAAGGAGTGGTGTCCATCACTTGCTCATGGTAACGTTTTGGTGATGACTGAATGGAGGTGTCTCCAGGCCTGAGAGGTGGGAAGCTGCTTCCTGATGTTCATGCAGGGCAGTGTCTGGTTGAGAGCTCAAGAAATCCCACTTTTCTGTGGCCTTCATGGTGATCCTAGCTATGAATACTTTCCTAAACTGAAAGTGTATTTATATGAAGGAAAACTAAGGCTAAATATGATGTTTTTTCCAAATTTAGTACCAGTAATTTACGATGCAAAGCTAAACACCGTTCTAAGAAAGTATCTTATGTTTTCCAAGTACCGACAATCAGTACTTAACATCCATCATCCACTTCTTGCCTGTATCAGTTGATCAGTGTCTTATTTTTATGGAAATGTATAATACCTAAAGATGTGCTGCTGCTTTAAGTAAGCCTCCTGCCTTTAATTCATCAGAGACATGGTATACATGCAAATGTTAATACAGTAGGATCTAGGAGCTGATTACCTGCAAGCAGCCTCCCACGAGCTCAGACATGCACAAAGAAAAGATCACAAGCTCAATTTAGTTATCAACGTGACCAAAAGTGTGTATATGCAAAGTCCAGGCGAAAAGGTATTTGAAAATAAACGGTTCTCTTACATGTTCATCGGAAACCGCTGTTGTCCTCATAACACTCCCCACATCAGTCAGCCTGTGCTCTCTGTCATCCCATCTCCCATAGGCCAAATCAATTCCACCTACAAAGGCTACCGATTGGTCAATGACAACGACCTTCTCGTGATGTGCCCAGAGATACACAGTGGAGGAGACGTGATCTGGGTGTCTCATCACCTTCATGTGGAAAAACACAGCAGGGATTTTTTTTTAAAGACTGGACCCTGTTAATAGCTGTTTCATCACTGGAACATGACGAAACAACATAACAGAACAGCTAAAACAGGAAATGCATTTAAAAAGTACAAGGAGAAGATATCTGCATCACCACTAAATTTTATAAATACTTAGAGCTTCTCGTCTCCCCTATTAAGAAGATTCAGATTCCATCCCAGGAGCATCTGAATGAGTCCACAATGTACCTTAATGTTAGGGTGAAGATGCAGTAATGTTCTCTTGCTGTACTCGCTGTTGATTCCCAAAGCAAGTTCAACTTCTTTGTACAACATCACAAAAATCCGCACACCTTGTTGCTAGAAATGAGAAAAGAGCATGCTGTCGGTAGAGGGCTCATGATTTCAATCGAGCACTGTGACTGAAAACAAGAATCAACGGTGAACTGACTGAAAGCCTGATAATTTATAATTATCAGGTATATACTATAATTAGTTACTGAATATTTCTTTAACAAATGGGAAAAAAGTATTTTCATTAATGCTGAATCTAGACTGCATTCCATCACAAGACCATTTTTCGAACATTTTTTGGTGTACAGCTTTTTGTTACACAGTTCTGTCTCTGAAGCATATCCTGTTCCTGCTGTCTATTGTGCAATAACAAGAGCTCCTCAATTTGTTCACCATTTCTTTCTTTTCAACACTATAGCTCAGACATCAATGAACCTATATAAACAAACAATATATTTGATAACTACACAACAGGTGATACTGTTTGATGAATCTGAAATGAAAATTAGATGAATATGAAATTAGATGAAAATGTAGTTCTATTATTTTCCCGTCACATAGTTTATTAAATACAATACTCATATTGTGAACTGACAGTAGATGAAATTCCAGACCACATTTTTTGTGTTATGTCCTTGTATGGGTCATAGAGCTCTTTGCAATTCTCTGCCTCAATAATAACAGAGTCATTGTCCTGACTGATTGTCTTAAACTATACTTTTCTTAAGGCAAACTGAATTCCAAGAGATGGTTCGATACCTCAGGTTTACTTGGCCCATGATCAGGGTTTTGAGTGTCAGAACAGGGAAACTAATGGCACTGGGCTCAAAGGCACCCCTGCAAAGCATTCTGTGACTTGTTTTAGGGGTAGTAGACCATTGAGGATTGTATAATGAAACAATGAAATATCTGTATTGCATTATGTAGCTATTTTTGTATTTTTATGCTCCTAATGCATACACAGAAGCAGAGAAAATACAGCTGTGTATAAAAACATAACAGGATGGACAGCTTTGTGTTTTGCTTCTCTGGTGATGTGCTGTTCATTCTGCGAGTGTAGATTGCAGCATTGACTACAACAGAAGCAACTGATGTATATCAGAAACACATAAAAATGATTCAAAAACACTCCTACAGTAGTGTAGATTATCCTTAATCCAGTTTAGGAAATACACATTATAAGCATGTATCTTACCTTACTGATTTGAAATACCATAAACCTCTGAGTTCAAGGTGTAGTCCTGAATTTACTCGAAATCTTCTATTTTCTTAAAACATTTTGCAAATAGTAAATTCATAGCAGGCAATGTTACCAGACAACCGGTCGAGCCCAAAACAAACATAACATGTTGTTTTATTTAATGTTAGGTTTGTATCGTGAGGCTCTACCAAGTCAAACAACTCAAAAACCTGTGCATTCTGCTAGATACAGATTTCCTTCTGCTTCTGGATCTCTAAAGCCTACATGAATCTTTACCTGAATGCTTTCCCATCCCTCTGAAATATATAATTTAGTTAATGGTATTTCATTAAAGGCTGTTCCATTGAAATATCCTGCTGGATGAAGCTATTATATTCTTCTGTACATGTTGCCCAATTCTGACTAATTATTGGGATGAGTACCTACAATATAGTGCTTATTCACAAATCTGGAAAATAAAGAAGACAGCACACTGCAGTTTGTAAAGTTGATGGCAACTGAAATTAAAATGGCAAATACCAATAACCTCCCAAATTCTATGGGAACTATGGGTTTAGGATGCAGTGCTACTCACAGCTTTCCTCTTCAGTATATAGTCCAGTCTCCAGCGATTCCCCTCAACAACAGGCCTCTTGAGAAAGATTTCTGGGCTCAACCTGTCAAACACACCAAAGACATCAAATACTGATGTGATGTTTTTGAAGGCTATTCCCTGTTTGATGCAATTTTTCACAAGCTAACTACAGATGGGTAACTATATTGGTTTTTTTAAACGATTCCTAAAATACTGGAGATTTGTGACCAGAAAGGAAACATTAAAATTAAACTTGCTAGACTGTAGTGTATATCAATGAAAACAGCTGTGACTTTAACATGGTTTCGTTGTTAATAATGAAAGACCACAGAAAGTAAAGTGTCCTGTGGAAAGGCTTATTATTCAAATTACTGTTTGGCTCCTGTAACACTGTCGGTTTGTAGCTAAAAATACACCCTTCCACAACAAGTGATTTAGTGTATGTACTAGGAGTTACTTCCTGAATTCATATTTTTCAAAACAGAACTTCGGACAAAATATGAAAATATTTTTGCCACATGTTAGACTTCTCAAACAATCCAATGTCAGAGAATTCTCAGAGCACATTGAAAGAAAAGAGATACACAGGTTCCTCATATGCTCACCGTTGAAGACTACTGCATAATGCCCTATTAAGATAACTCTGTAAATGAAATAATTAATTACCTAGTTTAATTGTTTCACTCTTATCTCTGTGCAGTGAAACCATTGTTAAACTTTTATCAATGTAACAAGAGAAAACAAATGTAATAGTATCTGAATACTTTAACATTCTCCTGAAAGTGATACAGTATTTCAGTTCATGGTATTTCATTAAAGGTTATTCCATTACAATTTCCTTCAGGATGAGGCTCTGCTATTCCTCTGTAAGCCATTTCCTGGCTACAGTGCCAAAACAGAGAGCTTGTCTTTTCAGTAGGGTTTGTAGTTGATTGGTTTTAAAGCCAGGAGGAATTCCAGTAAATAATAGACACTTGTCTTCATGCTTCTAGTTTAGCAAAATCACAAACAACAAGCTTCAGTGTTTTGGAAAAGTCTAATGAATCCTGTAGGATCCTAGGATTCCACATACAGTAAAAATGTACTGTAACTGTAATGTGGTCGACAAGAAGAAGCCAAGAAAATTTGTAGAAAATTGTAGCACTCAACCTTCACCATAAGCTACATGTTTTAGAAAAACAAAAATGAAACAAAAATGTGATCAAATTCTTTTTTTTTCTACGTTGTTTAAATGTATAGACTGTGAAGGACTTTTTGCAAGAAAATGAACTTTAGGGCTTTTAATTATTGTCACTGTTTCCTGTATTATAGTTACAGACCTTGAATATAGAAGTATAGAACTAAGTTCATATCCTTTCTACTTTTCTGTCTTTTGCCATTGTTTTCACTTTTTAACTTGTTAAAGATTACAATAAATATTGTTAACAGTTTTATGATAGAACATACCACCAGTCTGTGATGAAAATTTCTTCTTTAGCTTCCTCCAGAGCATCGGCCAAATCATGCATGTATGTTTTTCCATTAACATACCTGGAAAGCACATAAAAACACTTCCTCATAAAAATCCAAAGTGAAAGTAGAACACCATAAAAGGCTTCGCTTGCTACCACACCATAGAGTGCGTTTTACAAAGCCATTAAAACCTTTAAAGAAAAAAAGTTTTAGAAAGAAACCTGCGGCACATAAACGTATTGATACAAAGACATCCATCCACCCATTTTCCAGTAAGGTTATCTGGGGAATTGGAGCCTGTACTCTGTTGGCAGGCAATGAAAGCAAGCTACGATACAGCCTTGAATGGATGCCAATCCAGCGCAGGGCACACACAGACACAAACACACACACACATTCACAGCAGGGCCAGTCTTTCCAAAAGTCAATAAAACTACCTGTATGTCTTTGAACATCCAGCACCCGAGGAAACCCAAACAAATGTGGAGGGAACATACAAACTCCACACTCTAGGCAGCACCCCAGGTCCAAAATTGAACCCAAGGCCCCAGGGCTGAAAGCCATCTATTTCTAAATGATTTTCTTTACCTTATCCTAACTGCATTGATCTCAGTATTGTAGCATAGCTACCCCACTCAGGGTGGAACAATGAGGAAAGAGCTCCACACCCGCTCTTCATGAAATGACCAATTTAGCACCGACCACCTACTTAGTTGATGGAGTATCTGGAAACAAAACCGAGAACATGCAAACTCCACAAAGACAGGTCCCCACCTAGAATCAGACCCGGACCCAAAAAGCCAGGAAGGAATAGTGTTAACCACTGCACCATCATGTTGCCCTGTTGTTTTTACATTAGTATCTATCTGATTTAAAATCTTATAAGGTATGAAATAAACAATGGGATACCATTTAGCAAGTGTGTTCTCCTCTTCTCTTGCAAAGGATCCGAATCTGTGATCCCGAAGGAAGGGCTTTCCGTGTTTGTGCACGAAGTCATCAATAGCTTGACCCCACCATCGGGCGTGGCGAAAGCTGACACACTTCAGCACCAGCGTCCTGCAGACATGAGGACAACTGAAGCACCTCTTCAAATGCATTCACACATGCTTAAATTCTTTTTTTAAACCGATATCACAAACGTTATTTAAGGATTCTTTTTTCATCCTGACTCTACACAAAACATTAGTGGCAACAGGCTAGCATTCCCACATTTCCTGTGCTTTATCATATTAAGCCAAGAAACCCATGCATCTTTTTTTGGTTGCAAAAGCAAAAGCCTGAAATTTCTGCTTGCATAATTAAGGAGAGTCAAAGTGCAGGGTTGTGTAACAATATTCAAATATTCTTCAGTTCCCATAAAAGCTCCCTTCTTCTTACCAAGGAAATAATAATTACTATAACTTATCATTTGAAATTACTACAGAATAATGTAGTATATCATAGAAACCCAGATGTTTTTTCCACGTATACAAACTTAGAAATATAAAACATATTTTTTGCAATACGCTGATATCTGCATGTTATAGGTTCACTTGAAAGGAAGATATTTTAACCTTCCAGTTACCTGGAAAGACTGTCAATTCGAACTCCATATTTTGTGTCTGTTTCCTTTGAGTCCATTTTAATGTTGAACTCCTTGTCAATCAGAAGAACAAACGAAATGGCTCCTGTGTCTAGTTGCATGTACATCAGGAAAGAGTCTTTAACAACCAGCCACCTGCAATTGGAGTTGGTTCAAAAGACAGTGTCAATATTTACTTTTCCTAATCCCTTAATTAAAATGGAAGACACTGACAAAGTGTACAGTTAATTAAATCTACAGCTTTAACATAAAATAGGGATTGTGTGTTTTTACTCTAACCAGAATATATTGGATTTAGAAAGGCATTTCAAACTGTATAAGTTCTCACAGGTTTATGTGGCATCTGCCAAGAAGAAGCATTCCTTTTAAAACCTACACAGGTCTAGGAAGACTTAAGACATTGAACTGGTCGAACCTCTTCTCACTCGCTAAACAGGCACTAGAAACTAAAGCACACTGACCTTTTAGACCAGCGGTAGCAGACTTGACTGTGGCCACAGCAGTTCAAGCCTGGTATACGATGACCACCAGATCGCTTCTGAACCATGCCTTCTCTAAGAGAAATGTAAAAAGGATTACAGAAAAATGAGCAGCATGTGGGGAAACACTTTCAGCATCTCTAAGGTGCCTGGTGGATTCAGCTTCCAGAACTATCTAATCCCGAAATGAATCAATCAATGGAAATGGATTCTTCCTGTCAAAATGTTAATTAAGGCCTTTTGTTCCTGTTCAGAGCACAACCGCATACAACATAACAGCAATAGTAGACAATTTCTAAATGTGGCACAGATTAAAAAGCCAACAAAACCACATGAACTCCTTTTAAGATGACAGAGATTTCAGACTTGATGTGATTTTTTGTTAAGTTTTCAACTCCGATTTTTTTACTTTCACAATGTAGCCAGAAAAATTTAAATATAACATTGGATGTAAGAACAGCAGTAAGTATAGCTTACAAGCCTTTGGGTCCCAAATCATGGATGAAGGACATCTGACTCACATCAATAAACTCCATCTGTAGGAAATAAACACTTCTTTGTAAAGAGACAGTAAAATTTGATTTATGTTATTGATCAGATTTTGTTACTACAGAAAAGCTTCAGAATTGCAGAAGATTTAATGCTGTAAAATAACTATTTGTGAGCAGGGAGACTGATTCTGGCAATAAAGACTGCTAGGAAGAATATAAGGATTATTGTAAAAAGAACGGATTGTTTTATCACTGGAATGTAAAGTGCCAAATACTGCATTAAATACTGTGTTATTATTAGAGTCGCCATTCAGAATTCTTTATCTCCTCATAGAAAGCCCATGACACAATTAAAATGTTAAGTCTTTCATTCATAAAATTGATAAATACTGTGTGCTAGTGAACTACAGGAAGAAACTTACTGTGGCGTGGTAGTTTCTATACGTTGACATTCGTAACAAGTTGTTCAAGTAGTCTTCTAGTTGTTTCTAAAAAATAGTGACAAAATTTCACTATATTACCATTGTTTAAACGAACAGATTTATTAAAAAGTTCCAGCATGTTAATATAGTAATAATCTCTTGTACTTTTGCTTCTATTCCAGAAGAAATATACTGCATATCTGTGGAGTCCTAAACCCCAAGACACATGCGAGATTTATGTACATACTGTACAGCAGTTACACTCACCTTTCTGCTAGAATATTGTTCTTCTCTGACCAGGTTATCTCCCCCACGTGGAAGAGAGGGCATCTCTCGGACTTCATTCTTCTTGACAGTCTGTCTTCTAACTGTGTGTCTGGGAAGGAAAGGAAAACAATTTCACGTCATGCGACTAGAGCGTTGCTACCTAAAGTCCTCTTCAGCTACACATACAGCAATGTATGATATTGTGAGTTATTGCATTATTTAGCCCGTAAAGGACATAAGTGAAATATAAAAGAAGAGCTAACATTTAAATACCCAAAGAGGAGCAAAGGATTGAGATGAATGCAAAATCACAGGTAAAAGTTTATTTAAGGAGTTTAAAATTTTATAAAGAAGAGACACAACATTTCAGCTGTGGTTGCCTTCTTCAGGTATGTGAAGGCTGAAGAAGGCTCCACAACTGAAACGTTGTGTCTCTTTTCTTTTCCTTTCAGCATGGAATAAACCTTTACCTGTTCCTTTGAAGCCTATGCATGCTGACGCAGCTCCCTACTTGAAATTCTTAAACTCTAAATTAGTAGAGCCTTTCAGCCTACAAATAATGATCTAGCAATTTCTTCTAGTTGAAGTCTGAACATACTGTAAGTGGTTTTCATCATCTATGAAACTTACCTTCTAGAAGGTAATGGGATCCTCATAAGGGTCTTGTATCGAAGGAGTTCTCGGTGAAGCTCTAGAAAGTGCTTCTCTTTTCTTTTTACATGCCAGGTAAAATTTCCATGTTTCAATTCAATTTTGAAGACAGCAGGAAGTACCTAAAAATAAATAACATTAAATACAATTACGGTGTATACAGCACACCAGTAAAATAATGTTTGGATGTTTTTTTCCTGGTTAAATTTTCACAACATCATCAAACTTTTAAAGTGCTATATTTAACTTTAATAGAATGTGCTGCATCTCCAAACATTGTCTGGTTTTCTCTTCTTGACCCCAGTAGCAAAGGTCACGTGAAAACCTTTCAGAAAAGGAATTCAAGCAAAACTGCTACAGTACCAACCTTTGAAACACTCCTCTGATTTGTTCTGTTAAAGCGATCTTGTGCTGATGTGAAACGTTCCACTTCCAGAATTTTGGCTGTAATGGGAACACCTGTGAGGAACACCTTGGCTTCTGTTTCCTTAAAACCTCTGGTTTTGTAAACTGCAGAAAATGGGATCCGAGAGACTTCTGAAGTGGGACATACAGAACAAAGCCTTACTGAAGTGAACATAACCAACAGAAAGACCATGCCTACCCAGCTTTGGTTCCACAGCTTAATCAGAAATTCAACTGCCTACGTGTAATGAATTGGTTAACTATGCACATATTTGGTACTTCCTGTACAAGAACTTCAGAGTTCACAAAACACACCTAAAACACACCCGAAATACTGTTCCAACAGCTGTGACCTGTATTTTGAGAAGAACTTTGTAACATGCAATGAAGGAAGCCTGTCACTGTGTACTACACAATGAAGAAACTATCAAAATAATGAATTACAATCACAAATAAAAAAAACAACTAAAATAATAAATCATAGTGAAAGGATAACTATTTATATATGTCTAAACTGGTGTCTACATTACAGGTGAGTTCTAAAACATTCTGGGAGTGTAAGTTCAGTGACAATGGTTTATCATGCTTTTTTAAAAGTCTTATACTGGACTGATACTTGTCAATACAGTAAAAGTGAGTCACATATCTTCTACGATTGTACCTGTTGCCAAAAAAAAGTTTTCTGGGGGCTCTTACAGCTGGCTCTAAATTACCTCACCTGGATGATCTGAACCACTCCCATCAAAGTCCACCTCTTCTCCTAAATCCAGGTCTCTGGTGTCCAGGCTCTCCATGATTTCGGACATGTCGGAGGCCACCAGATGTAGCACACTTTCAGAGGCTTTATGTGATTGCAACATGCTTAGCACTCAACCTGCAGAGCAGGGACCACCTAGAGAGAAAACAACCGGCATGTGAACTTGTTTAAGGCACGCACAGCACTTGGTCTGTGCTGTTCAATTGACTTAATTCAATTAAATGTTTGTTCTACCACATCCAAAGCACTGGTTTTGTCCTCTGACACTACAATGAGAAAAAAAAACTGTGTTACAGGTAACGGGCTTGTCTGGCTCCGCTGCAGTGATGAAATCCCCTAGGAAACAGACTAGTGTCAATTTCCCCAGCTGTGGGAGAACAGGTTCTATGGCATGACTGAATACTTGGCTGTCATGAGGGAGGTGTTTGTGAATTAAGGGTTGGGATGCATCCTGGTAGAATTGGATTTAATTCTTATTTAAATCCTGTTAAGGACAGAGCAGTACTCACTCCATATGCGGTATTAAGGGTTATTTCAGTAGCTATCTTTTTATTATGCTTGACAGACAACATTTAAATGTAGTGTACACTATTATTTTAATTACACTAATATTTTAATTGATCAAAAACTGGAAGCATCAGACTTGTGAATTGAGAAATGCAGTACAAAGGGAGTGCTTGATTAATCTATTTTCTAAAAGCATTATCCAATTTAGGGTCACGGGGGTGTTTGATTAATATAAGCAAAAAAACACTATTTCTTCTACCAGTCATGATTTTCTGTACCCTGCACAAACAGATTTTCAAAGAATTTTATTTGTGCCCTTCAGAATGTTTGCGGAACTATAGTATAATCATTTGTAGTAAATAAGAAATGGTACCCATTCTAACTGAAGAGTTTCAGAATTTATTTTGGCTGCTTATACCACATGCCAAGAGATTATAGTGCATAATGATAGATTCTAAACCCACACTTTAAAAGCATCTTTGTTTCAGCATCATTAGCAGTCTGCACACACCCAGAATGACTAATTATTCTGTCTAACTGCTGTCTGTGTCCATGGGATACCATGATTTCACAGAAAGATTTTACTGAAAAGGGTCCATTTTGTGCTATTCAATCCCGTGTCACATACTTCAGACATATATTTTTTTTCAGTTTAGAATTCAGAGCACAGGGGTGCTGAAAAAGAATGCATAGAATTATAGGATCAAGCAAAGTTGTCTTTGTAGATTATTCCTATGATTGTAATTTGGTATCCCCGTAAACAAAAAAGTACCTTCATATACAGAGACACCTATGAAACTAATGAAACTAACTCTTTTTTATAGGAGGCAAGGCATGTAAAAAATAACAGATCACTGCAATCCTATTGCTAACAATTCTCATAGTTCTTTTTACTAAGGGAAAGATGCTTTGTGCTTAGTCTGTAGAAATGCATCAAGTGTGGTACAGTAGTTCAACAGAATGTTTTTACACTTTATTGCCTGTAAATCAAATAACAATATACATTGCAGAAATGTTTATTTTAAAAGTGAAGCAGTGGCAACAAGACATAAACAAGACCAAGCATTGTTGATTTCACATATAGTAGCTGATGACACTCACTCCTTTAAGTAATGGTGTGAGCCTCTGGACCAAACTGAGAATGTAAATGAGATTTTGTCTTCAGTGACTTGTTAAATAAAGGATTATTATATGTTGTGAGTTTTCAAAATTTCACTCCTCAATTTTTTCCTGTTGGCAGGCATCGATTGCAAATCTTGTTTTATTTGTGTTAACTATTTTTGGAGTTTAAGGAAGAAGGCTCAAGAAGTCTTAAAGCTCTATGCTGTAACAAAAAAGCAATGTCTAGTTTCATTAGAAACAGACAAAGCATAAAGAGTGAAGCACAGACCAAATCTTTTGAAAGATTTAGGACTGTCAATTAGCAGGTTACATCACAGATTCCTTGTCAGGTTTACCATACTTTACATCACTGTGCATTATCTCCCACCTGTACTTCCCTCTTCTTTTACTATGGTAAATCACAGTGAACATCCAGAAATACATCTGTGGTAACAGTAGTTTTCGTTACTATGCTTGTGTCAGCATAAAGTGGTGGCCAGGGATGTGGGCTCATCAGAGGGATGTTTTGGGTTCAAGTTTCGGTTGAATGGGGACATCCTGTTTTTTTTTCAAGACAACAGAAACTGGGATGAACTCCAACGCCAGTACATCAGGAAGTTAATGAAGGGCCAAAAAAATGTATTTTTCCTGTCCTTGAGAAGTAACATCACAGTGCCTAATTTTAGCACATCTGGGCTAAAACTAGAGTCTAGTGCAGTTCCCAAACTACATGGAGTTAGTCTGTTAGCTCAGGACCGCCATTTTAAAATAGAAATGACAGAACTAATGAATGCTGTGTATCTGCTTATCCAAAAATTCCTACCTTTATGCTGTGTCTGAGCAGTAATGAACTCATTATGCAGCATTAACAGGACAGCTATGGGTGGCAAAATAAAGGAGGCCATGTGTCAAACCAATATCAATTACATAACAGTAAGTAATAATTTCCATAACACAAAATACAGGAAGACGCCCATTCTGAATCCCACATGAGCTCTTCTAATTGTAAACACAAAATTATATTCTCCTTACTTCAGTATTTTACAAAAACAGAAACAAAGTTTAAATAATGATATTGTGGAACTGAAAACAAAACAATACAGCTTCACATTTTCCCATAATTTCTAAAACATTTCAAAATATAATGTTTAGAGTACCAAATGTAAACCAAAGTATGAGAGACTCTGCTACAGATACAACTGAGTGATTCTGTTGTGCTATGACATGACCATGAGAAACAACTTTAATACAAGCAGCTATTCTTACTACAGGAAGTGGTGACAGGAGAGGGTCCTTTCAACAGCAACTATTCAGATTAGAACAACAAAGTATGTTTCCAAACCACCTATATACTTCCCTAAAAAAAGAGGAAAAGCACATTTGCAGTTTATATAGAATTGTACAATCTGTTCATCACACAGAATGCTTTCTATTTATTTATCTTCATTCTGTTGCCATTGATAGCAATATTAGATAGATTTTGCGTCAAAGCAATGGACCACAGGCATATCACAGGGCCTTCCCTTATCCTGGGACTTTACATTCTTATACAGGTATGTAATATATATTCTGAGGGATTCTGTCTTCTCCTTGTTTTTAAGCAAAGAAGCACACAACTTAAGAATCCTAAGCAAAGCCTTAACCACTAGTGGAAAACAAAATATTGCCTTCATCACAATGAGAATCAGTTTACATTGTATGGGCGACAGGGCCTTCTCCTGCTATGCCCCAAAGCTCTGGAACTCTTTGCCCAAGGATATTAGAGAGTCACCTTCTCTAAACTCCTTCAAAT